AAATAGGTGGGAATACGAACTGCATATGAAACTGGCATGTCCTCGTGTGTTAGCACTAAGGTTGTATTAAAAATGCAGACTGGAATTTGATCACCATGGTATTTTTTTACATAAATAAGTGAAATGGAGTTGAGTCTTAAGGTCTGTCATGTTTTAGTGTGAGAAATTGGGAATATGGAGTGAGAGTGTGTGAAGACACTGAGATGGGTGAGTCTCACTCCCAATGGGTGAGAGTTGACAACACTGCAAACACATATGATGTTATATATATATATATTAAATCTAAATTAAGTTCATTTATTATCTATTTTAATAAGAAAATTATTTTATGTTTAGAATTCAATTCAAAAGCTAAAGATTCCATAGCAATTAAAAATGTTTATATCTTATCAATAGTGAACGAAAAATCTGAAATTCTATTTCAATGAAAGGTAAACATGCATGGTTTACTCAATCACTTTTTTAATTGAAATTTATTGACTTCACATGGGAGAAATTTACCTCTGCATTTAACTCATACCCTTGGGCAGCAGTGGGCTGCCAGTGTCCCAAAATTGAAGAAGATTCATTGATTGTAAAAAAGAAAGATTTTGTTCCTTTCATGGTAGAAGTGATCAATTGTAGTGCTCAGATGACAAGGAAAACAGAAAAAAAAAAAAAATCAAAATAATAGTGAAAGCTGCAGAAAAGTATCTTGAAGTTAGAGATTAAAACTGGTAAAATGGTTGAAAGCATGATGGGAAAACCAATAGGACCATAAGAAACTGGCAAAGTGACGATAACTTGAAGATAAATTAGAAATTGTGAGGGTAAAAGTATTTATTATGTTGGGTTAAGAAAGAAATATACATACTTTTTTTTCTGGGGGTGAGTATGTTTCCTTGCTTAACTCCTTATCAGTTGATGGTAGTAATGCACTTTTAAGTAGTTTGGCAATCTCCATAAAACCTCACAAGAAGAAGAAGAAGAAGCAGTGGGCTGCCATTGTGCAGCGCACTGGGAGCAGTGTGGGGTTAACAGTCTTGCTCAGAGAGCCAGAGTGGCAGTCTGTGATAGTGGGGCTCGACCTCAGAGCGGTAGGATTCCAAGCTCTATGCCCTAACCACTAGGCCGCCACTCCCCTAAAGCTAAGTGCACCCATACCAAGATTTCCAAGGAGGTGAATAGAAGGTTTAGTGGAAGGAAGAAATGTGGTAGAATAAAATGCCCAAACACCATGCAGCCTTGAGAGGATTGTAATACATAGCCCATTTAAGAGTTTTAGATAGATTTTTAAGGTGCAGATTGCAATTGGAGTCAAATCTTCAAGAGCTTACACACACAAAAAAATGCAGGGCATAGGTTAGAATTCTTGGATTTGTCTTAAGCCACCCTTGAAATAAAATATAAAGATATAAGCAGCATCTGAGTTGGACTATAAAAAAGAAAAATGATTTAAGCGTTTTTCTGTGGTTTTGCATAAATACAAAATTATGTTTTTTAGAAGAAGGTGAAATAATACTTTTAGTATTTTTAATAATAATTTTAAAAAGTACCAACTGACTGGAGAAGGAAGCGCTGAAGATGGAGGGCAGGAGCAAGGAGAAGAGAGAGGAGCAGGAAATTAAAGCTGTTTCTTCTAGCATCCTCCCCAGAAAAGTGTTAAATACCGACAGTATCATTTAACTTTTATTCCCTTTGGGATTTATACAGTGTTTTTTAATTTTTTTTTTATTTGAACACATCCAGTAGATATTATTCACTAGGAGAGTAAGCCCTTCAAGGGAAATTATAAAATAAAGTAATTGTTGAAGAAACAAAATACCTAAGTAATTTAACTGTGCAAGATAAATGTTTGTCTCAAGTCCAAGCTTATTTTTAACATTCTTTGCATTATTGAGGAATTTTATTTATTTATGAGCAGTTTGCTCGATCTTAGAAACTTAAGTGTGAAGGTTATGATTTTCCTAAAATGTGTAAAATTTTACGTTCTTCAAAAATCTGGAAATTGCTAGTGGTTTGGTTTTTTTTTATTCTTTAAGTGTAGTTTTTGCTTATTTACAATCACTTCTTTCTACTGTTACTTTTGTTTCATCGATTCTTTAGAGGGATTTTTTTCCAAGTATTTTGAAGTTTTCTAATTTTCCCAGGAAATGCAATTTTTTTTCCATCTAATTATAATTAATGTTGACCTTGATAAATAATGGCAGATTTTATGGGGGACCGATTGATCTATGGTTTCTGTAAATTAACTGTACATCCATCCATCCATCCATCCATCCATCCATCCATCCATCCATCCATCCATCCATCCATCGCATTAGGCCACAACCATACAAATAGAATAGAATAATCCTTAACTGTTTCAGTGTGGAAATTCCTAAGGGTTGCCAGATTGAGCCCTCTCTCCGTCTGTCTTAGATAATTATGTCCTTTGGCCAGACACCCACCTTGTCTGCTGTTGGTGTTCAGTAGCCATGGCAGTCTTGCTTCTGCCCCAGGACAGTCATGGCTACATTTACTCACATGTTTACCTTTTTCATTTTGTAGAAGTGTGTTGAAATGGTGTTGGGTAAAGGGCTTTGGGGTTTCTAGCACTTGCTAAAGATCACTTACCATTTATTAGCCTAAGGTAATTGAAAAGAGCACCACAAAAAAAAATAGAAATATTGTACAGATAAAAACAAGTAGAAATGAAATGTGCATAATAATAATAAAAAAAAATTAATTAAATGTGCAACCATATTGGATGGTTCACAAAATGTTATAAAACGAAAAACAATTTACAAAAATGGGAATAAACTGTGATTTTACCAGCTGGGATGTGAACTCATTATATGTTTGTTAGAGGAGAATGATGTTTATAAAGTTTGATAGTGGCTAGGATGAAAGATTATTGATAATGTCCTTAGTGCACTGATTGTATTTCACTAAAAAAGCTCTCTTGCTCTGCAGTTTTATGCATCGATTGAGAAACATTGCACAACAGTGATAGCATTTTTGCTCATTTTTTTTACTGTCTTCCAAAACCTGCATGGGTCCATGGCTCATCCTAAAGCCTCTCAGCTGTAGATACTCCGGTGCTTCAACAAAGTACACTACAGAAGAACTATGAAGCCACCCTAAAGTTAGTGAAGGTCTTCAACCCCCTGAAATCCAATAAGTTACTCTAAAGACTATCAGCATTGTTATTCCAATCGAAGTAATTCCTAAAGAGTTATGAGTTGTTAACATTACATACGGCAGATGACCAACTGACTAATGGGATTATTTTGTAATGTAAAGTCTATTTGTGATTTTTTTGGGTGGTTTTTTTGCATATCCCTCTTCAACTTTTTCAATCTGCAATTGCTTGGTGTGCTCTAGATAATGTATTAAGTTTTAAACTTGCCAAATTAAATTCATACTGCAAAAAAATGCAGCAGCTCAAACAGTAAAAAGCAGCCAAAGTCCAATTAAAACAGAAGATATAGAAAATATGACTCTAAACACTGTGAAAGGTCCTTGGAAAGTCTTTCAGTCTTCCTACTTGAATTTCAAATTACTGTGATAATTTAAAAAGGATTAAAACCTTTTACACAAATATGTCTATTGAACTTAAACTTACCTTTTTCTATAAGATGCATCTGTTTCCGACAATAGTTTATATATTTAACTCAAACACTGAATCAGGGGGCATTCTGTCCATGTCCATACTCACCTCCTGGTGTGGTGAAATGAAGCTAGGAGAGAAGAAAAAAAACAACAAAAAAAAAACAAATGGAATCTGTTATATACTGAACCAAAAATGGATTTTTCTCCTGTAGTTAATGTATGTGCTTTAAAGAACATGCACCTGATCCACACTTTTTAATCTTAATTCACTCTGGATTACAGAATAGATAATTCCTCACTTGTTGTGTAGGGTTTTTCCACCAGAGGGTGTTACTTCTTTTAAAATTACACAAGTTTTAAGAAGTTTCTGAAGTTTTGAAGTATTACTAATCTTCTAGATCATGTTTTTAATTGAAAAAGCTTCCTGGATGGGAAGCAAAACGTCTTCAAACTTGGAAACAAAGTCCAGTGGATTGTTTTATAACTTTTTTGGAATCTTCTAGAGCACCACCTTGAATCTGACAGAGAATCTATAAAGGGGAGGTTAAAATTAAGGTAATGGTAAGGATGCCTACCAGCATTAACTACTGCATGCTAATCACCCAAAACTAAAACATCAATCAAATACCAGTGGAAACATATAAAAACAGACAAATAAGGTTTTATTGCTGTGTCATGGATTATTTAAAATGGTATAAATTGATCTTAACATACCTTATTTTATTAAAGGTAGACAAATAAATAATTGTATTCAACTTCTTGGGTTGGATAAAAGTAGTTTCCAATCTACCTTGTCGCACTCCAGGGAATTTATCATATTTGCATTTAAAAGATATAAATATGTATATTATGATTTGTCCGTCTTGTCATTTTAACTCATGCTGCTTTATTAACCCAATAGAGCGTTGATTTCTTCTAAAAGCTCTCAAACAAGTTTCTCTGAATTCATTCTCAGAGGCCCCTATGCAGATCTTTCATCTAATGGAATTAGATAAACAAAAACATTGGTTGGACCAAACTCTTCTGTCTCCACACACTTACAGGACATCATGTGGGTCACAGTTGCTTATCCAAGAAAACACTGGCCTATTTAAAGATGGTCTCGCTGGAGTCACACGGCTCACATTGAGGCTTGAGGGTAAACGCTCATCATCAGACACCGACCACGAGACCAGATTCACTAAAGAGGATCTGTGACGCAGAAGGCAAGTCATGGAAGAATACTGATAATTTACTTATTAGGAATGCGCAGTGGTTTGTGAGCACCTCTTATAAGCATTATCTGTTCATAATGATTTTTTTTTTGTAATGTAGTATTTAAAGCTGAACTTTACAGATTTCCCTCATTTAGGTAAATATCTTCCATAATTCATTGCATCAACAATTGTATCTCTTTATCCAGCAAGCCCATCCCTCAGTCTGTCTCTTTTCACCACTTATTGGCTCTTCGGCTGTTGTGCTCAGTAACTCCTTTGTTTGCCAAAGCATCTCTCACTTTGCTACATGCCTGACTGGAGACAGTACCCACCAGCACCTAGTTTACACCAAGACATACAGTGTTTATCTCGTAAGACCTTTGCACTGAGAAGAATTGGAGTAGAGTAGAAAAGGAACATTTTGACAGCATTTGGTGAGTATTAGCGACATGATCTTTTGGAAGCTGGTTATTGTATTGCATATTCACTTATTCTTTGCCTGAACCTTCTGATAGCATCACAACAGATCAATAAGAAAGATGACCTGTATCATTCTTGATGAGGAATTCTTCCATGCTTCTTAAGGTGGTGTGAGTGTAAAAAGGCCTTTAATTGCCGGTGAGGTGTCACTTGAAATACCAAGAGATGACTCTCCGCCGTCCAGCTGCCCACCGAAGGAGGGCTGCAGGCTGGAGGAGATCAGGGGACGAGTCCTACTGGGACAGCTTCATATCAGAAGAAGAGCCTCCTCGCTTCTCCCGTGCACCTCGGCCACAGAGCGCCATTGAGGGAGGTCAACTGGACGTCTGGCTGGAGCACCTGAGGACAATGCAGAGCAAGGTTATATCTCCAATTCAAGAACCATCATTTGATCGGACTGCTTCCATGCCTGTTCTTGAGGGACAGTCGACAGGACGAGCCTGGAGACAGACAGGCTCTTCCTCCTTCAGCACAGCCTCATCTTCACGTGGGAGCTCACCCAGCAGCCAGGAGTCCCTCCAAACAGGGTGTTTTCCCTCTCAGGAGCACAGGGGAGTTTGGGATAAAGTTCATATCTTGCAGTCACCATCAAAGGAGCAAGCTCAGCTCAGCTGTCTGGCTTCAGTTAAAACTGGTTGGTTGCCAATCCAGAGAAGAGTGATGGTGGTAGGGAACACCGGGAGCCAAAACCAGTACATGGACACATCTTCTGGCCAAGTAAGAAACACAAAACATGTCTATAACATTCAATGAAATCCCTCTTACTACTGTACACTTTATACGTTTTCCTACCATTCAATGAATTGATTGATTTTTGAGCATCTCTATCGAGGGAAGAGATGTCTGATTCCTGCAGATTCTAAAGTTTTAATTCATTAGTTAGTTTAATCCTAGTGGTAAAATGAAAATATAAACAAAAAAGCACTTATTATCAGTGCAATTTTATTTAATTGAATATTTGTTTTTGTAGGATTAGAATCAAATACAATTCGATCTGTTACATGTTGTAATGTTAGATACGCCTGATTTCAGTGCATTACTTCTTGTGTATGTTGTATATTGGTTTCTTTTATACCAATCTTTTTATTTTTTTAGGAAAGACTGAAACACCGCCAAAGGACAGAGTAAAAAACATAATATCTCCACAAACCTATGATATATGAAAGAGTATGATTAGAAGAAGAAAAATGCTTCATTCACTCAGTAAGGATAGGAAGTGGATGCATAATACTTAGGCTCTATTCTTTGATAAATGTACACAATATCTTTATAGCTTTAAAGGACAATAAATGAGGACAGGTACTTCTAAATAAGAGATTAGAACCATCTTCTCTTAATAAAAATACAAAAGATAAGAAAAAAGGAAAAGTTTCCCAGCGCAACAGGGCTCCTATCTCACCAAATAAGAAGAAAAGAAGCTGCCGAAATAAAAGTAATCCTTAGCACTTATCTGCACAATTTCTCTCGATCATTCAGAGTTTGGGCTTCTGTCATGTTCTCTTCTCTCCAACTTTACTAATTTTCACCCCAGTTTCTTTTCTTTTTTTTTTTAATAGGATTTAAAGAAAGACAAAGCTTTAAGTTGCTTTGCAGCAACCATGAAAGCTAAAAGATTTAGAATGCCAAAATCCCTGCTGAAATGTGTGCAAACATTGTGAGCAATTACAAGAAATGCCCTGTGTGACCTGTGAATCTAAGCTCTTAGTCAGGTTTCAATAAGACTTAAATTCTTATTTTGGTCGTTGCAATAAAATGTATTTTTTCTTTCTCTTCTACATAAAGATTAACATACTTTAGAAATTAAAGACAATTTATTTTGTAAGTAATTAAACTAATAAAATCAACAGAGGGGTAAGGACTGATGGTGACATAAAAATTAAACACGTTCATACATTCATAGTTGAATACTTCTAACTCATTAAACACTTTGTTACTTTGGACCAGTCAGCTGTCTGTAATAAACTCCTGAACGAAGCCTTTGAAATATAAATAACCTAAATTAAATCATATGAGTCATAAAGATACAAAAAGATAAGCGGCAATGTAAAACTTGTAAAACATCTTAATATTCCCAATCTACTGACAAACCTTATCTTAGATGAGCTTATATGAATTAACTCTTTAGCCTCTGTTCTGTCTCCCTTCTTTAAACACACACATGTGTAGAATTATGAGGTTACCTAATTGTATTTCTTTAAAAAAAAAGATTAGATTAACTTTGATAAGATGACAAAGTTTTTTCCTAAAATTTGACATTTAAACCAGGTGACCTCTGGTTGCATTCTTTGTGAAGATTAATGAGGTTTCTATATGAAAACTCATTAATTGAACTTTAACTAAAACCGTTATATTGGAAATAGTCATTTATGGAACTGTCTCATGTTATCCCACTAACAGGTATGGCTAAATTGGTAAACAAACAAAGCAACATACATGACAAATTATTTTCCGACAGATATATTGCAAAGGTATCTGAAGAGATCAAGCATTAATACATATTCTCTCTTTTCCCCTGAGATATCAACCCAAGGTTTCATGTGTGATTTGGATTTATAAATACTTTGCTTAAGTCGTAAAAAAGGTTTGAAAAAAAAGGAAAACCTCTAACTATGCTACCTTCTATCCATCTGCTCTGGCTGCCTCTAAACTACAAGATTACAATTGATGAGAGGATTTCTCGTTTTCACGCAAATCAGACGACTGACCTCTCTCTGAGAACTTTATTTCCTATTCCCTCATCATGTTTGGCGCATCCTGACACTCATTTGGACTTTGAGATTTAATTTTTACTGGTTTGATTACCCTGTCGGTTCAAGTCTTTTGAATCCTGGTACCTGCAGAAAAGTAGATAATGCTGAATAAGTTTTTGTGCTTAGAGCAAAAAAACAAAACAAAACAAGCACAAACAAATAAAAACAATGAATTTTGGAACTTTAAAAGAATATTTCACTACCCAAATCTGCGGTGAGGCAAAGATTATATTTGTGGCAGAAGGAACTTGCCAGATGAATAATCCACTCATTGTACTACTCCTCACAGAAAGCCCCCGATGTGATGTCTTCAGGCGCTGATTATAAAAACATGTTTTAGAGGCAGATCAGACATAATATTAAAATCTTTTTTTTTATGTACTCGTGGAGACACAGTTCCAAAACACTAGGTAATATATAAAAGCAGAGGAAGCAGTTTGTGCTCAGGATTACTGAGTTCTTGTGGAAAAACATTATCTAAAGAGCAATCTCAGACATGTATTGACATTTATTTAATGAACAAACTATCATAACTTTGGGTGTCATAGAGCTTGCATTTAACATAGTTTAATAGCTTCAAGATAATCTTTTTTGGAATATGTTGGTGTTCAGACTTAGTGTAAGTTCATGAAAAAGGCCATGTGCAAAACATTGTCAAAGGTGACATATTTGCAAAAAGGTAATTTTTTTGTGTCCATATGACCACAACCTTTTCAGTTACAGCCTTTTATTTTCTGTCCTTAAGTACTTTGGATGTCTTTTTTTCAGAAGCTTAGATCTGCATCATCAGTAACTATGTTGTGCCTTTTACAATTCCCATAAATGTAATAGAACAGCCTTTTGTAAAGACTTGAAGCTTGTATACCCTAGTATTTCCTCAGGTTGTGTTGTTGCAATTCTCTGATGTTTGTCAGTCGATGTAAGCTCTACTACTCTGAAGGTAAGCGTCCTGTAGGGAAGGCGATGGTGCTCTGGGCCAGGCAGAGTACAGTACTCCCAGACAGGGCCATTTGTAGTGCAGAGTGTCTCAGTTACCCAGGGAGATAGCAGAACACAGGCCTCTTTTAAAATGCACCAACTCTGCAGAATCTTAAAGCTTTGTCAAAAGCTTTATAACCAGATTGAAGCTGAAAAGGCAGAGACTGAGCTTAGTTCCTGAGCAAATGCACAATTCTAAATCAATGGTAACACAGCATTACCTGTTTAAGATATGTCTTCATAATCTATCATTTGCAGTGCTATATAGGAGGTTTGATTGAGCAAACCCCTTGTCTTCCAACTACCCAGTCGACCAAAAAATGTTACCTAATCAATAGTTGTAGAAGACTTATTTTGAAATCTTTAAATCTGTCAAACTGTCTTGATATTAACAGAACACAAACATTTTTTTCATTTTTTGCCCTTAGGTTAAACTGAAACAACCCATCACTCCAGCAATCCAAAAGAACAAAGAAATGCATTTTTACAAAGGTATGTATACATTCAGATGTATCATTGCAGGATTGTGGGTTTTTCCTAAAGAGGCAGAATAAATCAGCCAAGGACAAAAAGCCATAATGTAGAAAAAAGAATTAGAGAAGGATGGCTTATCTAGGAATCAATAATACATATGCAAGATCATTAGATGCATCAAACGGCAATCTTGGAGCATTATCGTCTGATGGTATTATAAAATTGATTACTCTGAAAACCGGATAAATGAACAGTTAGTGGATATATCAGTGCTGTTAAAGGCATCATGGCTCATTGAGATAGAACTAGACAGACTAAAGCAAGTCATTTTACACAAACTATTCCAGTAACATGAAACCTCAAGAAAAAAACTTCCAATCAATACTTTTGTTTTGTTCTATGACAAAAAACAAATGGAGTCTAACAACAAAAACTGAGAGAGGATGGCATTATTTGTGGTTTAGTTTTAGTAGTTTCATTTCCCTCACCTTGCCTTGAATGCTCTGACATACCATTTCATTCCATTAGTTTTCTGATGTTTCCTGCTCCCCTTTCAATGTCTTCCCATCAGGCAACTGCCTCACTTGCTTCACACTCAGCAATCACCTTCACACTGAACTGTATATTAGTTCTTCATGCTCCATGTGTCTCTTATCTAGGCCCTGTTTCATGGGTTTCAGTGTCCAGATTATTGATCGTCTCTTTTTTGTGCTTTTTTTCCTTTTTAATCAAATACACTACTTTGCATCCATCTGGCAGAAATTAGGTCCTTTTTCTACCTTATCTTATGAAAATTACATGACTTGCTTGGCAGGGAAGCAACTTGCTCACTTCTTATTAGCCTTCCTAAGTGGAGCTGTCCATATCATCAAGCATCCCTCTAAAATAACAAAAGTAATGTGCAACTAGTCCTGTATTATCAACCACAGTACTCAGAGAGCATTTTAGGCTAAGTAAATGGGACTTGAATAGGCCTAAAGAGCTAACAAGAAGAGGTAGTTTGGGGATTAAGGCAGGAGTCAGGAAGATAAGAGGAGATGCAGACTGATTGGAAAAGGGGCCTCATTCATCCTTGAACACAGCAGTGCAGCACTCACCAGGTTTGATCTGAAGCTTGATCTTTCAACCTCAAACTTGTTTATACATAGATTATCCTGGCAGGGCTCATGCTGCCTGCAGAAATCAAAGCAATCTATCTGTTTGGCAACAAGGAGCTGCATCAGACACTGCAGCAGTCTTACCACTGTCATCATGTGGTTATAAAGGACCGAAGTGAAGTGACTCGCTGAGGTAAAACGGAATTGTTTAAAAGGTCAAATAATGAGAATATACAAGATGCGATCACAGACAGAACAATCCATGAAGCATCGTAACAGAAGGATCCAACTATGATGATGGAAAACCAAGAGCTTAAATGCTGAAATAAGAGTGAAAAATGACAATGAAACTAAATAAATTTGAACAGCTGTGCCTGGAGTAAAGCGGGGAAGCTGAGGGAGGAAGAATTATCAATTCAAATGGAGCTGGACCACAACACAGACACCGTTTACCAACATAGATCTATCAGTCTAAAAATACAAGAACATGGGTCCGTTTCACAAAGCAGGTTTAACAAATTCAGATTCAAATCCGAAATTCCAAATTGATCTAGCCTAAAGTTGGGAAATCTGAGTGTTCGGTTTCACTACAGCTGATATCAGTTAGTTCAATCAATTTTCACTAGGTCCCCTCAGAGTTAAGTGCGTGTGCAACAAGTATGAAAAGCCATTATCAGTGGAGCACAGATTCAAGGAGTCACCATGACAAAAGGCAACAGGAAGTGCCTATTTCACCCCACTGCAACCAGAGATTTTAATGCAGAAATGAAAAAATTAATAAATAAATAAAAAAGACAGACAGAGAAAAAGCACTACAGCTTCAAAGGAGAGGAAGGTGGAGAAGGAAGAGATTGTTGCTCGAGTTAAAGCATAAGATTATATGAAGTGGACTATGGCATGCCGTTTTACATTTATTACGGTAAATGCACTCTCATTTCTGTTATTCCATTTGTAGATCACTAAAATAAGATTCTTCCTGATAAAAATCACACTCCTAGATCTAACTGTAATGATATATTTTTTAAATTACATTTTTGTAGCAGAAACTGAATTTTAGAAAGTAAAAAAAAAAAAAATTTGAAATTACACTAATAAGAATTAAGTTTTATATATCTAGAAATGTTTACACAATTTAATGGGCTGTTCTGACCTTTATCTGCTTGACTGAAAATGTATTTATGATATCTGAAATTTTTTTTTTCATAGTTAAAATAATGCAAATGCTGATGCGTAATATTAGGAATATAGAGATCTGAAATTAATTTAAAGACATCCAGAATGTTTATTCTAGATGTGGAGGATGTCATTTTGTCTAAAATGGTCATTTATACAAAGAAAAATTTGTGTTTTTTCAGACATCAGGAATACATATTGAGAACTAGTAAATATCAAAACGGCTTGCCATAGCACTGTTATCGTATCGTATCGAAAATATTATACGGGATTATTTCTTGAACTGTATTAAATTAATGTATCCACTTTGGAGAAATCTTCTGGCAGCAGGAGAGGATGAAGCCTAAAAACATTCTAATATATAGAACCTGTGGATCATCTCATGTGACCCTCCTCATGTTGATTCAGTCTTCTTTTACACAGTAAATAAAGGGCTGTTTGCAGCCAAGCTTTGGATGTTATCATCCCAATCAATGGCAGTTATAAGCGGTTATCAGTCCCATAGAATGGCTTCAGATTGTGCCAGTAGGCTCATTAGGTTACCATCCAGTGAATCCTAACCCTAAAGTAATTCCTTTTCCCCAGCGGAATTAATTAATCTATTTATGTGTAATCTGAAAATAATTTCAGTAGTTCTTCGTGTGTTGTACAGTAAATATAACTATATAAAAAGTAATAACAATTAATATTATGCCCTGTCAACTGAGTTGTAGAATCCTCTCCCTACAAATATTTAATTCTCTGTGAAAAAGTGGAGATAAGATCCTTGTCAAACGGAAATGTTTTTAAAACTTAATGTGTGTAACAGATCTAGTGAATGATTTTTTTTTTTATGCGGAAAAAAAGAAAGAACATTAGAACAGCTTATCAACCAAACATTACAGACTAAACTAGCATGGAATCATTGTAGATACAACAATGAACTAAGAGAAATTAACAAAACTTTGAAAGACCTTTGTTACTGCCAGTATTAGTGGATACTTGTTGAGGACCCAAATGCAAAGATGAGGAGCCAGAGATGATTTCTTGCAAAATTTAATGAAGAAAAAACACAGAGGCCATTATCCAGAACTGATCAACAAGAAACCCAGGAAACAACAACTAGGAGATACTAGAGAGGAATAAACCGAACAAAGGAAAGAGGAGAATCCAGCAAACAGTGGTTGCACAGGAGGAGTATATATGCCAAAAAAAAAGAATGAATGGAGTAATCAACTAATTGGGAGCAGGTGTGGACAGAATTATTTAGAAGGGAGCTATGTGAAAGGACACTGGGACAAGGTGGCAACAGAGAGAAACCAAGAAATACAACAGTGCTTAAATATAACTAGAAAATAACTTGAATGACTCTAAATGGAAAAGTCCAGAAAGGGCAGAATGACGACAGTAACATAAATAACTAACAATACTAAAAAAAACCAAAAACAAACAAAAGAAGACCAAATCCCAAACACCAATGAATGTTGGAAAACGCTGTACTGCTGCATGTGCATTTCTTATTTAAAGCCACATTTACAGACTGCAGTGAATATGCAAGTGGTTCAGAAACATATTAATATGTAAAAAAAAATTAAAAATAAAAATCACGATGCAATAATACAAAAAGTATGCCTCCCCCTGTGTAAATTATCTGCTGCCCACTTGTAAGCCAGCTCTTACATTAACTAATGTTGGTGAGGAGCTGGAGGTCTTTGACCATCCTACTCGTCTGTTGAGGGATCATCAACTCCACTCAACAATAACAATACGTCTAAAAGTTGCAGGAAAGTTCCCTTTCATAACACACCCACCTGAATGGCTCATTACCAGGCTGGTGCAGAATATAATGAATCAGTTCATATGTTGTTTTTGTTTATAGGATTTTTATTGTGGTGAAAATTAGGATGGCCATGAAAAATCTTTAACAATTCGACTTATGTTTTCCTATTCAAAAGTTTTTTTGTTTTGTTTTTTTTTTTTTACCAGAAGTACTTCAGTTCTAGTAAGGGAAGATTTTGAAACCTTTTTGGGAAGTGCCCTTCTATCGATCCCGATTGAAATGCAGAACAACAGGGCACAGTAAATGCTGTGTTCCACTGACAGATGTTTTGGTCACAAACAAGAATTTGTGAATTAGTTTAAAGCTAATTAGGTATCAGGCTTAGTATTGAGTTGAAGCTACACACACACAAAGCCAAATAAGATATCTGTAAAGAAAAGTTTGAGTTTAGAGATGAAACCAGATTAAGCAGGAGGTCCTAAACAACAAACAAGGGAAAGGAGAAAAAAAGGCGGGGAACGAAATGTGGTGCTGAAACATTACACAATAGATTTAAACGTTTTGGAAACACAATCAGTCTGAAACCTGGAACTACTTTTCCACCCTACATGAAGGTTTCACACATTTCTGGTTCTGCTGCTCTTTGAACAAACCCTCCATCTTATATGACATTCTGTATTTTTTATTAGCTATACATTAAATTCTGCTTTTCTGGGGCATAAATGTGACATTAAGTTTGCAGAGGATCTGTGATGTTGTGGGCCTTGTGGGTCCTGGAAACCTTTTGAGACAAGGACAATTCTTAAATAATCTCAGCCCAGTAAGTTAAAACTGATCATCTGTGTGTCTTTTAGGGGATGATTAGCAACTCAATACAAAAAAGGTTAATACAAAAACACAAACAATCATCATGGTGTGTGCAGTTCAGGGGGGTGAGGACTTTACAGATTTATTTTATGCTATCAGACAGAGAGGCCAGCAATTGTAGCTCTAGCAGCCAGCAGCATTGGACAAATTTGAAAGTTGGCCAGTGGAACATTTAAAGCTGAAAATAAAGAATTTAAAAAGTAAGACAACTGCCATCTTTTATGCCTTTTACAAATATCTCCTTTCATGTTTTGTTTCATAGAAACAGTCGTACTCAGACTGTGCGCTCTGTCACTCGGTAAGAGTCACATTTCCCAAACAGGAAAGAATTTAATTCTAAGGAGTTAAGTTTGGAGGTATTTGTGTGTACTTTCATGTAGTATTTATGTGAATATATTTGAGATATCATGGCCAAAAAGGGTGTTGATAGGGATTTAGAGGGTATATGCTTGAGTCTTTATGGTCTATTAGACGTTTGTACTAGATGATGAGCTAGCAGAAGGTTTAAAACTGTTTGATTTCAGTGAGTAAATGGGAGGAATATTGAATAAATTACTGAAGGAATGTTTTTTTTTTAACTAATAGAAATGTGGTTAAATAGAAAAGCCTGGGTCATTTATTCTCCAGCTGCAGTTTCACAGTGAAGTGCTGCAAATTTCAGCTTGTCTCTCGTTTTCTCTCTTTAAATGGAAAACACAGCCGATTAAACGTGCAATAACTAAGGGTTATCCCACAGTGAGGGCCTGTCACTATGGTAACAGCAGCAAGTGGAAATACAGCCATGCAAGCTGAAAGGGATGGCAATCAGGTATCAGTCACACAAATCCTGTCATCTCTTTGAGGAAGCAGGACAGTGACTCCAAAGCGGTGCCAGACTCACCTTTCTGTGCCTATGTGAATTATTGACAGTGTCAACATTTCCTTAGAGTCATCAGAGGATTGCTGAAAAATGCATGGGTTTGTGTGTGTGTTTTTATGTGCCGAGGAGAAAAAGACATCCTGTCTTACCAGTAATCTGTTTGTTTTGCCTTGATACAGCAGAGGCAGAGAGAAGTCACACCAGCCCCAGTGTCCCGTGTGTGAAGACGAGGATTACTCTGGATCGAGGCTCTGCTTTTAACAAGGTAATCTGGCTGATTTATAAAACTATCAGCTAAGCTTTATCAAGAAGATTAAAATTAAATACAGCAGTAATTACCAGGTAAATTCAAGTGTTAGGAAGTCTGAGCGAATTATTTGATCTTAAATTTAAGGCTGTATTGTACTTTCAGTGCTTGGATGAAATTTCCAAATATGGATAGATTCAGTGCTAATTATTGAGACATTCAAACACTAAGTATAGTTTTCTTTTAAACAATAGTTGTTACTATTTTTTAAGTATGACCTATCTGTCTTTGACCTTTCTTGAAATTGTAGACACTAGCCCATCAAAAAAATGCCCAAATAATAATTTAATGCCCAATTATTTTTTCATAGTTATTATTATTATTTTTTTATAGCACTAGTAGGGAACAGGCAGTATTTTCAAGAAATTGGCAAAATGAGATTCAGATTTTTGTCATAAGAGTATCTATTAACAATAAGATTCAAACTATAGAAATGTTCTGGCAGATTAACTTTAATAAAAAGAAAACTTCCCAGATATTATATTTTATAATTTTGTTAGTGTACAACAAAATTGCCTATTTAGGGCTATGCTTTTGAATACAAACAGCCTGGATCATTATGGTCCAGTTTACTATGAAAAGAGAAATTTCTAAGAAAAATAGTTGCTTTTTCATTTAGGAAAGATTTGACCTAATAAGTGTAGAAACCTGAGGATTTCTTTCATCTCTGTGCTTCATGCTGCATAGTGCAGCAGTAGCCATTCCATTTATAGAGGCTATTGCTCCTCAATGCACACACCTCTATAAAGAGTTCCTGCCCAGTTGCAGCAGCTGTACGTGGTGGTGGGTCCAATTGATGCCATTATTAAAATGCAGTTCTAGACCTGCATACATTTATTCCAGGTCCTGCAAACAGGCTGCATTTTTAATTTGCCAAGGAAGGAAATTGCTCATGTCACACAGAAATGCACAGAACAGCACAGAATACAAGATGGTTATTTAGATGCATCACTAGGTTTTGAGGATAAGCCCTCAGAGATGCACACGATGACGAATGTCAAGGCTGGAAAAAAACTCTTTTTCAAACCACTAACAAAAACTAAGAAGTTGCTTTCCCACTACTTGAGCAGATTTAAAAGAAATACCTATTTTGTAAATGTTTTAAGAAACCATTCGATAATGCAGACACTAGTGAAGGGAGTATGTATGTTGATCTGTTTGTCCCTCAGCCTCTCCTTCTGTCCCTTCACAATATCTTAAAACTAAATGATCAACATAAAGACTAACTGCATGGATTATCACACAACACAGTGTTAAACGTTGCACAGATTACATTTTGCAACCCAAATGTGAGCCATATAAATGTAATTTCAAATCCTGAAAAAACTTTTTTTATTACTTTAATTAAAGTAACATTAAGGTAGCCTAATTTTTATTATACACATACGATGGTTGAAAAAATAAGTGTGAGAAGAATATATATTTTTCCCCACCTTAAATGAAAAACTGTATTTAATGTTTACTGGTGTTGTTTTTGAGAAATACTAAATTGGTTGGATTTTCTGAAACACTTAAGTTTGACAAACATGCAAAAGAAAAAAAGAAAACAGTAATAGTGCAAATACTTCCTCAGACATGATTAGAAACTGGACCGAAGATATGAAGATATTTGAGTAAATAACGATAGTTTATATAACTATTCAGATCACATTATATTGGAAGAGGTATTTTTAATAACAAAATTTAAAAAAAAACATACAGATTAAATTAAAAACCACATATTATTTGTCTGAAGCTTGAGAATCATTTTGGGGAGGCTCGTCTTCCTAAAATAGGCCATGTAACACCACTGTTCTTAATGTTGAGATATTTTGAGTCTGAAATAATAATTATTCTTTTATTTGTTTTAATAAACTTTATGGACACAAAGATTGTTCTTTATTAGGATTAATGTGTCGATTAATCGATTAGCAATTGTAATTAGATGTAATTGGATGGCAAAACGATCCTTAAGAAAGATTTTTTTTTACAAAATTAAACCACATGAAACTAAAACTTTTCCACTTCAGGAGTTCTGGGTAGAGCATATTTACAATAAAAAATATATCTTAAATAAACAATATTTATGTCTTTTTGGCAATTTTTGGATAATTACTGCTCTACGTGCGTTGCTCTGTGAGCTAAAAGTATGATTCAGAGTCTCTACACACCACTCAATGATTTATCAATCAATAAATTAGTTGATCATTCCAATAATCGATTAATAATGTACAAGTTTTCTAAGGAGCAAGTAACACACCACAGAATCTGAACTTAAACCTAACCTTGTAACGCCTGTTCTGTTGAGATGACAGAATGAGCCAAAATTAATTGTACTCAAAATGTTGAATAATAGAGAATACTGGCACATAACAAATATTACAGCAAAAAAGGTAATTCAATTCTAACAAGTACCAAAAAAAAAGATATACCAAATTCTGACTTTTAAGGAAGTAAAAAAAACAAAACAAAAAAAAACTTGATATTAATTTTGCACTTAGCAGTGGCAATGATTTCAGTTAGTCTGAAACGAGAATATCTTGTCTGTCTGAAGAGGCAGTTAGAAAGCAGTAAAAAATATGAAGTCTTTAATTAGAGTATGTCAATATCTGCTTTAACTTAGTGAACACATTGTCTGATTAGAGCTGTACATCTGACAGCAGTGTACTCTTCTTCTGAGGGCTTCTAGCCACTCTATGTCTATAGAGAAAGCCTGTACAAAAAAGGATGTCACTCTATCTGAAGGTAAATGAGGTAAAACAGTGTTTGACTAATCTGTGTGCATGGTGAAGCTCCCTGCCTATAGCTGCTAAATTGTTCTGCAGAGGAACGGCTACGGCTGCTTTAGGTATAAAGTCAACATTCACAGAAGCTGTGGGTCAGAAATTTTATTTTCGCACGACAAAATAAGAGGCTTCTGCATTTTCTCCCAGGAATTCAACCTGCCTGAAGTAATGTAATAAAGAGTTTTTTTCTCCTCCAGCCAGACCTCACACCTCCTATGCTTCTTCACTGACTGTAATCTTGAATATTTCCATAAGTCCTCCACCTGGAACTTGCAGTAAAATGCTGCAGGCACAGACTCTAATTTAACCAGTTCTTCCAACAATGCTCCACTTTCCAAAGTTTCTTAAAAATCAGCACAGGAAATGCATCCTTTCAATTGAGGAACAGCTTAATGCTATTTATTAAGATGCTATATATTAATCCTTATTGCTGGTTATGTTTGAGACATATTTATGTGTTTCTTTAAAGCTCTCAAAATACCATCAGAATACTGATGCCCAGAGACAGGATGTGTTGCTTTTTGCCTCTCAGTTCCTGTTGGGGAAAAAGTCCCATTGTTATTCGGTGAGGGATAAGTCACGCTGTATGCTGCTTTGGCTGTTGCTCCTTCCATTGCTGCTGGGGCAGTCCCTGTGTCAAGCATGTGGTGGGTCACCTGACACCAGAAAGAACAAAACAGACACAATCGAATTCCACAGCTGAAAACATGACAGGTTTTTAATATTTGATATTGTACTTCTTTTGTATTTGCTTCTTTAGGTGAGAGTGCCAAACCAAATCTATCTTACCCTATAATAACATGTTTTTTTTTTGCAAAATGATCCGTAATTTTTTTAAGTTTCCATGTTTTGTCATGTTTTATCACAAACCTTTTAATTTAAGACCGATCAACAGAAGGTATTGCATATTTATAAAGTTCAAGAGAAATAATACATAAGTTTTAAAAAAGAACATTTAAACATTAGTGAGCAAAACTCATCATAAAGACAATAAAGGCAAGTGAGGGAGACAGTTGTGGAATTTTAAACTGTGATCGACTATAAAACCAAATCCAAAGCTTTCAACGTTTATCAGATCATTGTTCAATCTATCATCTGAAAATGGAGAGAATATGGCACAACAGAAAACCTGCCAAGATACGGTCGTCCTCCAAAACAGACAGTCCAGACGAAGAGAGCATTAATCAACAATAGAGTCCTGCAATCCACAAATTTGACCTCTATCCAAGAGTGTTGAAGGCATTGTTCAACAAATGCCATAAGAAGTGCCATTAGCAGTTTGTCATAAGTTGTGAGGAAAACAGAATGGAGTAGAGGCCAAAATAATGATGAGAAAATTGATTTAGCTACTTTTTGATATGAAGAATGGGTAAAGATTTCAGCTGTTTAAAACAATAGTAATATACCTGGAAGATAATGCATTATTTGCATTAAAAACTGCAATGAAAGATATTTCAACCAAATATCACCACTAGGGGTTAGAATATAACTGTACTGCACACTTTCAAATTTATACTGTTACAATATACAGGTTCAGTAAATACATTTTAGTTTGTGATTATAGATTGTAGTATGTGAATGCTTTTTCAAGGTACTGTATTCTTATTTTTTTTCATAGGGGCCTGAGAACTCTCCTGCTAAGGAGGGGAACCAAGCTGTCGGCTGGCCTTCTATGACAACAGGCTGGAAGCCTAACAGGGTGTCAGGTCATCTTGGAGGCAATGATTCCAATGAGATCTGCAGAGGGCTCAGAGAGGAGCCCCGTTTGATGACAACTACAAGCACACAGTCTGTGAACCATTCACCTTTGCATCGGAGGGCTTCTGCTGATCCAGCTGGTCATTATAGTTTGCTGCAAGGAGCAAATGCTGTAAAGACACAGAAGCCCCATACACCTTTGCAAAGAACGAGCAGTGTTCAGCCTTTAAAGGCCACCGTATTTTATGGGACTAATAGCAGCTCTGAATCTTCACACATACAGACAAGTTCCCCTGTAACGACTCTCATCCCACAAAACAAAGCTGGCTTCTCTTCTATCACCATCTCTTCTAAAAAAGTGAGCAGATCAGCGAGTTTGCCTGGATCCCGATCCATGAAGTCACTGTCTCCTTCCCCACCAGATCAACAGTCCATGGACCCAGACTCAAGGCAAGTACGGGTGCAAAGGAAAGCTACTATAGTCAAAGTGACAGAGCAGAGAGTGGTATCAAACGGTTCTCCAAGCACCGGTCGACCTGGAACGCCTCCGTCTGGCAATGCTTTGGACACAGTGGTTCGCAGAAGAAAGGCCACCATCATCAAAGTGACTGAGCATAAGGAGACTTACAGCACAGACAAGATAAGGAATCCAGAGCACAGGCACAGTTACACCGAAGGACTGTATAAGAATAACAGCACACTGAACAGTAAAGTACCTCCTTATCTATTAAACTCCTCACCAAGTGCAGTTACAACCCCAAACACTCCAAACGCAAAGAAAAATGAGACCCTGCACAGATCTACTCTAAATTTTTTTCTTAGCAACCCTCCGGCCATTGCATCTCCTCCCTTAGAGCCAGCTCCAGGCGCTGCCGGACAAAGATCTCGGAGGTTGCAAAGACCCATGAGCAGCTATGGTAGTTTGATTGTACACTCGGATCAAAGCAAAGAAAGTGATGAACAATCATCCTACTGGAGACAAAGCTCCAGGCCTTCACAGGAAACCTCTCCCAACCACATGCACTTTAACCACCTTCCCATCAGCTCTGGAAAATCAGTGAAGGAGGCGGGTCAGCCCATGGCGGCTGACACTCTGACACCAAACAGAGACGAGATAGACTCGACGCCATCAGCGGATGGAAGGCGCAGAGCTTCGCCGAGTCTTACTCTCATCAAGGCCCCGGGTAGGTTTCTCTGTCCCACTTTGACAGTGTTCCTGTCAACATACAAGCTCCATCTGTCTTTGATCTATATTTTCAAAGCACTGAAGTGTCTAAATATACTTTTCTTTTTTTTTTTTACTGTTTCTGCCTTTTAGCTTCAACTTATTACGCTCCATCTGTATAGTCCCAAAGCTTTGATGTCTTGCTGATTATCAGATTGTTATAAAAATATCCTTCTATTTGTTGCATTGAGAGCATCTAACGCTCTTACCAGGTAAACATCAGAATATCAAGTGGTATATGTGCAAATAAGCCTTCTCATATAGACATTATTTGCCTCACACACTTTTTTTGCCATTAAAAAAACTGAAAATGTTTCTGTCTAAAATGTGGTTAAAGGAAAAAAAACATTATTAGTAAAATCACAGTCTCTATTCAAGCTATGTCCTATATATTTTATTTCTTTGCTACATATAAGCACATTGTTTATCAAGCAAGTCTTGTATCTCTCCATCTTGTGATTTAACCGTGGCTTAACATCTGAAATTAGAGGAGTTTTTATATGGTTCAGAAACAATTAAAACTTGTTTGAAGTTGCTAAAATAAACAGCCGCATCAAACTGTACATACCCAGAAGAAATAATGCAAGGAGGCAGTTTTCTGCTTTGCAAGCATGCCTCTTCATTTATCTTAGCCCTGCATGAAATTATTAAACACCCTCTAATCACATTCATTAAGAGTGTGGACAATTAATTATAAGGCCAGAGGCGGGGTAATTTAAATTCAGTATTTGATTCAGTCGGTCACAGAATGAAGCTGAATAAAAAAAAAAAAGAAACAATCCCATCAAAGTCACCATGTTGCGTTCAATAACAGCAGGCCTCACTGTTTTCACCCACTTTTTGCTAACATCAGAGTCCTCTTGCTTTCTTTAGATCCTGACTCCCATCAGTCTCAAGAGGAGGTGCTCGCCCTCAACGCTGCTGCGATTATAGCAAACATCAAACTCCAGAGGCAGCTTAGTCAGAAGAAGAAAACACCGAGAGGTTCAGAGAGGGGCTCCCCGGCTTCTCCCCAGGGAAATGCTGGTAATATTTCACACCTCTGTCACTAAATGTGTCGGGGAAATGTTTTAACTCGTAGCATTTCTCACCTCATGAAAAAAGTTGCAGGTTCAACACTGTTTGATTGAATCAGTTGGGTTACAAGGAGATTTTGCTCCCTCTCACCCAGAGTGCTGAGAAGTAATATGTTCCAGCAGGCCTGGGGAGCACAGCACTCAGGCATGCGAAGCCAAGCAAGGTGTAAATGAAACACAAAACTGTTTGACTTTTTTTTTTCTTTTCCTCTTTCTCTCTTGGAAGTAATGGATGAGGGAAAATATATAAATGGTAATAAAGGTGAAGCTCGGTATCACAGGCAGCCGCATGCTGAGTTTATTCCACTGGGACCAAACCTGGAAAGGTCAGCTGAGTGTGCCTCCCTTCAGGTGAGTTCACTTTATGAATGGATAAATAAATGGAACAGAAGAATGTGGGATGGTTTTCTTTGTTAGTAAAAACACATGAATCTTGTTCTGTAGTTTATATTGAGTGGAAACTTTCTATTTAAAATCTGTAACTTTTGTTTCTGATGTTTATCCAAATAACATTTTAAGCTTTTTGGTAATGTCCTTTAAATAAAGATGAATAAATGATTTATTGCACCTGAAATAAAGTCTGTGACACTGTAATGTTATATCCAGATTTTCTTTATCCTACATATCTCTTCCTTCATTGTTTCCATCTACATTAAGATCCAAAATTCTGAGATTAAAGTCAGAATTCCGGGAAAAAAGTCAGAGCTCTAAGATTAAAGTGAGAATTCTGAAAAAGAAAAAAAAAGTCTGAATTCTGAGATTAAGGTCAGAATTCTGAAAAAAAAAGGCAAAATTCTCAGAAAAAAGTCAGAATTCTGAGATTAAAGTGAGAATTCTGAGGAAAAAAAAGTCAGAATAAAATGTAATAATCAGTTAACTTATTTTAATTTTTTCAGTGGCCCTAATCCTCTTCTGTACCATCCTTCTCCTCTTGGTGTGTGATATTTAAAAACATTAAAACCATTAATTTTCTAGTCTTGTTTGTCATACTTGCCGTTGCTCATGTTGTAATATCTGTGTTTACTAACCACAATGTTTACTTAGCTTTATTTATAAATACATTTATTTAAATCTCTTTATAAAAAAACCCTGAAAGATGTGGCATCCATTTATATTCAGTGGTCCTGACTCAATACTCTGAAGAACAATCTTTTGTCACTCTGTTATCAGTCATGTCTGAACCTTTTGTCTATCCTAAAATGACAGTTGAAGCTAAATTTGACTTTGACTAGGCCAATCCAACACATCAGAAAGCTTTTAATAAGCATGTAAGGTTTGTTGTCCTACTAGAAAGTAAACCTCCAGCTGTAGTTGCAAGTCCTCTGAAGCCTCAGATTTTTTTTTAAGGCCTAAGGTTTAGTATAGATACTTTTAGCTTTTTATAAACTATGACCAAAAAAAAATTCACACAGATTTCTACTACCATCACCGTAGTGCTTTTAATTCTCCACTTCTAGTTGTATCCTCAATGTAGCAGCAAAAAATAAAAATAACAACAAAATAATAAAATATATAAATTCTGGTCACATCTTACCAGAGCTCTCCATACTATATATTTTAACTTTAAGTTTAGTTCATTTTACAACACATGTCATCTCAGGGCCTTTAGGGGGACAATACAATCTGATTGGTTAAGGAAAACCAGTTAATTGCATCCCGTCATTGATCTGAAATACAGCCTTCTGCTGGATGAGCCTGCGGCGATGATTTTCGTTGTTGACTTTTCAGCAATCCCTCACACTGAGCATGCATGTAGCAACAGTGGAGAAGAAAAGGTCCCTCTTAACAGGAAGTAGCCTCCAGCAGATCCAAGCTCAGTGTTAACTGTGTCCCTTATATCATTTTTTTATTTTCTTTCATCTGTGTTATTTATCTTACCTGAAGAGCTGATTTCATAGATGTTCTATCATCAGACCATCCCTCCTGAGCTGAGTATCACTGCAGCTCCTCATGTGCAGCTGTGGGGTTCTTCTCTTTGTCAATGACCTGTTTTTTGCCCTTTGCCAGGCCTGCCACTGTAGATAAACAACTATGTCTTTGTAGCTCTATTGTTGTGCCACACTTTCCCATTTAGCCAACAATAGATTGGACTAAACAGTGATCCAAAAGATATTCAAAGATTGGGACCTGTTGTTTAATAACAAATCTTGCATTGAACTTCTCTGATAATTAATCTGTGTGCTGCATTCCTTTATCTTCATAATGTTGTTAAGGGTATCGAAATAAAGGGGGCTGTACTTAAATGCATTGCAAACTTTTTGGAAAAGTCTGAACGATTTTAAAATGGTACATTTTATTTTCTTTCACTTTATGATTATGTGTATTTCTATTTTAGTCCATAGGAATAAATAAACAAAACACTTTGTGGTTTGTGACAAAATGTGTGAAAAAATGTTCCCTCTGAAGAACAGGGAGTCCTCAATTACTAATAGAAGCTTCTGTGATGCATCATTTCAGAAAAAGGGATCCATTGCAACCATTGTAGTAACGATTTTAGGGATTATATTGATGCTGACGATTTTCACCATTATTTTCTAGTGAGGGATTGTTCCACTCAGTTAATGCATCTCTTTAAATAAAAGGAAAGATTTGCAGCCTTTGGTACAAGATATCCACCTATTATTAAACCTGAACCTATTTTGAATGTTGTTTTTTTAAACCGATATGCTCTCTTCAGATGCACAGAAAAAAAAAAAGATTACTTTATAACTAGGATGAAAGTTAATCTGGAACAAAACCACTCTGATGTCAGGAAACACCTGAATCCTATTTTCAGTTACCTTTGGGATGCTTGGGAGCTGTGTAACTGGTTTGTCAAAGAGAGGAATGTGTTTGTGTCTTTGGCAGCGAGCACTGAAAAGGTTCAGACCAGAATTCATCAGCCGCTCCCAGGAAAGAGTACAAGCACTGGAACGCAAGGTGCAGGAGAGGAGGGAGCGGTCAGGAGCGGGGAGGCTGGAGTTAAGAGGAGATCAGCTCAGACAGCTAAGGGCCAACAGCAGCACAGGGCCTACCTCTTTGAATGGTAAGGCCCCTCTCTAAACCATTCTGCTGACCATTGTCCCTTTGCAGCTGCAATGGCCATATGCCACATCACTAATCACCCTCATGCAGATTTAGAACAAAGAGCTGAGAGAATAGCTGTCGACCAATCTTGTTCTCTCGGTCTCACAGAGACACTGTTACTCTTTACTGAATGCTGGGAGGGAATAATCTAACTGAACAGAAGAAAAATGGATTGAAATAGAGATATCCCACAGTTAGGAAATTCTGGACGGCCAACAGCATAGCAAATATGGAAATAAAAGCATACAGGTAAACATAGAGATATGTATGTGTTCCCTAATCATTGTCGAAATTTGAATCTTTTTTTTCTCTTCTTCCCCCTTTAGCTAGTTGGATAGATTGGATCACTTCTTAACATTAACTTTTCAGTATGGAAAAAACAATGCATCCTTAAAAAATGAATAAAATAAATAAATAATAACATATTTGCTTTTTAAAACTAGGGCATAATTTTGTGGCTTTTTAGTCTGTTGATTTATTTTTCTGCTTAGATGAAAGCTTTCTGCAGCAAAATCAGGCAAAACATAATGGTTACCTACTTCATTTTTCAAACGATTAAAGAAAAAAGGCTGAAGCAGAAGGTATTGTAAAGTTCAAAACCAAATGTTTGTCATTAAAACTTTTATTCAGTGGAATGCTTTTATCCTGGAAAAATCTTTACATTTCAAATCTGAGTCCTAGATTTTTATCCCACAGATCAAATTGTCCTAACCTTAGGCTCCTTCACGGTCTTCAGATTTTTCAAACCAAGAACCTTAAGAGCAGACCTTCCATCCATGAAAGAAACTGGATTAACCTAAGGGACACCAGGACATCTGGGAGATAAATTGACATAAATGTTTATTTTATCCCTCATGCTGTGCTACATCGGTCTAGTTTTCCTGTGAAGTGCCTCACTAAGAGTTTAGTTTTATCCCCACATGCTTCCACCATATTCTACATCATTCTGTGACATTTTCTAAAAAGAGTCAGGACTCTAAATCCAAGGTTTTACAGTATGATTCAGCAATTACACCCTGTGACCAAATCAAGTAAAACTCAACTAAAATGAGATAGAAAAGCCATCAATTCAAACAACTTTGCACAACCAGAGACACAGTAGGACTAAGTTTAAGGTCACCTCTGAATGAGCTCTCAAAGTTTCCGGCTTCATAGAAATGATGCTTTCTTTATATCTGTCTCTGCCCTCTTCTGCCCAAAACAGGAAACTACAGCTAGGAAGGAGTGAGGATAGTTGTGTCTGCAGGTTTTTACATGGTGGTTTGATGTATGCAAAAGGCAAGATGTTTTATGATTTTATTCTTGGGAAACCAACAGAACATTTTTTTTTAATTCTTGGTTAGATTTTTTTTTTTTTCTGTGAAAATCCTGACATTTCCCTGAAGTTTCGACACTAGGACAATCTTTATTGATTGACTACCGGTACTTTTATTCACCGCTGGTAATAGAGTCAATATTTTTCCAGGTAACCTTTTCAGACCCACAGACAGAGGTATTTCCCAGAGAGACGTCCAGTCCAGATCCAAGCGGCGAGTTGCAGCTCCTGCTGTTCCCTGACAGGCTAACTGATGCGCTCATCCATATTACCTTTTCTGCTGCTGTCTATGCATTTGAAGGCCTGCTGCTCCTTGCACAGTATCCTGCTTGGGTTCATCTGTCAGAAACCTGTGCTGCCAATAAACAGTTTTGTTCTCTCTTGATTCTTTGAGTCAGTGTTTGAAATATCCTGCACAAGTACTTCCCATAGTAATCCATAGAAGATTAAACACATTTGTCCAACCATTTGGAAATAAAAACTAATCTTTTGTTTTTTGTACAGAAATGCCCACAGAATTAAAAAAAAATGTTCAGTATGTAGGATATTGAGGAGGACAGGAGGAAAATATGGGCACCTTTTATAATTCACAACTACATTATCTAAAATGCAATTTCTTCATAATGTTCTAATATGTTTTGGAATGCATTGATTTATGCACATTAGTTTTAAAGACTATAATCCACCCTCACTCTATAAATGATGACTGATTTTTTAAACAGTTTTTTTTTTTTAACAAAGCTCATGAAAATCTGTTATAATTTCTGGTTTTGTTGCATCAGATTTCTAGTGCTCTTCCACCTTTAAATAAAATCCACACTGAAAAAAATAATGCAACCATTTTGGCATCTACACAATTATATTTAGTTACTTTAACATATATTTTATGTCTTAAAGTATTTTAAGTACTTTAACCCTAAGAAAATAGGGTTAAAGTACTTAATATGATTAAATAGATGCCAAAAATGGTTGCATTAGTTCTTTCCATGCAGTAGAGAATTTAAAGAACAAACTGTTTCATAAACAACAAGCTACACAGCAGACAGGTAAAGGGTAAAGTTGTGGAAAAGAAAAGACCAGTTAGGAAATAAAACAAGCCAGAAAGGGAGATTTATCAGAAAAGAAACTGAGTTCATTGGTAACTTTGGAAGAGCTGCGGGGTTTTTGAGATGACTACTTCACATGTACCACATAAATCTGGACTTTATGGGAGATGAACAGAAAAAAAACATTTTGGAGAAAAAAACAAAAAAATCCTCTTCAAATGTTTCCATTACTGTGATGGGTTGGCGATCAGTCCAGGTTTTACCCTACCACTTAACCAATAACCACTAGAAATAGGCCTCACAATGCTGCAAGAAAAAGTGAGCATGACAGGAGCTCCATCCGGGGCAACCCTGGTAAAGAAAATGACAGTCAGAAAGAGACTTGAGACCAAGGTAAGAGTTCATCTTCCAGCAGGAGAACATGAAGCCAAATAAATATCAAGAAGAACAGAATTACTGAAGCAGCATAGAGAGCGTTCTGACCAGCTGTCTCACTATGTGGTGTGGAGGCTGCAGTGCCTCAGACTGGAAGAACATGAGAAGAGTGGTGAGAACAGCAGAGAGAATCATCGGGGCTCCTCTTCCCTCCATTAAAGAAATTTCATCCCAGCGCTGCGTGTCCCGAGAATCATCAATGACCCCTCACACCCCCACCATTGACTGTTCTCCCTGCTGCCCTCTAGGAAGAAGCTTTGCAGTATTCGATGCAGGTTCAGCAGATTCCGCAACATCTTTTTCCCCACTGCCATCAGACTGCTAACCTGTTGAAAGAAACTCGAAATCATGTCACAGACTCTGCATCACACTGATAATACCAAACCAAAAAATGCTGCATATTTGCACCATATATATTTGTCTTGCAATGCTCTGAAGTTCCATATCAATTTTGCACCATGTTTTTTTTCTCCCCCACTGTTTACATTTGATCACTGTTGCCCTTTATGAAATGGAAATGTTCATTTTAATGCTTAGCTGCTGCTCATTCACTGTCTAAAACCTGTAATGAAATGTTTTGTATACAGTTTGTGTGTACAAAATGGTAATAAAAGTTCTCTAGATCAAAATGTTTACATTTATAGATTTTTTTTACATTTAAATATGCATTTCAATTTTTTTATAATTAACTACAGATTGATCTGATTTATTTTAACCAGTATAAAATTATTTGGAAGGGAAAATAAAAAAAATCTCACCACATATATTTGCAATGTTTTTAAAAGTCTTGATCAGATGTGATGCTACATTAACAGTGTTAACTGACACCATACGAAAGAAAAATTAGATCAGATAGTCAGGTTACCCAATTATAGTACCTTACAGTAGGTACCAATAATGGAATGATATTTTACTACTACAGGTAGATCAGACTGCAATAGAGTTTCATTAATAGGTTTAGGGCCCCTTTTTGGTAACTCGTTAAAGTGGGAAAGAGAATAGAGGTAGTAACTCGAGTCATTCTGCCTTTTCTGGACTTTTTGGTTCTGTTTAAGTTTGCTTTTTGAGTTTTCAGTAAAACTTTGATTTATGTCACTCTTGTATTTCTTTACTCTCAGTTGCTCCTTTAAGCTAGTGTCCTTTCCCAAGCTCCCTTCCAGGTCCCTCTGTCCACACCTGCTTCCAATCAGTTCATTAGTCCCTTTACTGTTCTCTTCGTCATATATACTCCTCCTCTGCAGTTATTGTTTGCTGGACTCTCCTCATTCCTGAGGTTTATTCCTCTCATTTCCTCCCTGTCATGAAATGTCATGAAACCTTTACAAAACAAAAGTTTGTTTTGTAAACATTCTGTCTATTGAAAATTATAATAAAAGTTGTCTAAGTCATGTCCAAGTCTAAAGTGTCTCCTAGTTTTTGGTTCCTGAGTTTCTTGTCTATCGATTCTGGGTAATGGCTTCTGTTTCTTTCACAAAACTTCATTAAGTATTGCAAGAAATCATCTCTGCCTCTTCAGCTCTGCATTTGGGTCCTTTCCAAAACTCCATAGATCCTGACATTAACAAAGTAAGGAAGATGTTCATCATATGTTATAACTCTGCATTTCTGAAGCAGAATTATATAATTGTATAAAAAATACAAGTTGATTTTAATAAGCAGAGTGTATGAAACCTGACAACAATTAGTGACTTAAACACACCCATCCCATGTGAGCTGGCACAGTGACTCATCTCTTTTTGCAGCACCATTTATGACAAATGTGAAGAAATTACTTAGAAAATCACTTTGATTAATGCCCAAAGCTTTACATGACAGCAATTCACTTTCTCACTGAGACACATGTAAGACTCTGGCAGAACATTAACTGTGTAAATGGCCCACAGGCAGTTGAGCAGGTTAACAACCCACCTTCCTTTTGTGGGGTCCATTAAACTCACAGAGACCTCCTAGCTGTAGTAATGGCTGGTGTTAAAGGCATTATGTGCTAATAACACAGCTTTTTTCTCCTTTTTTAACAATGCCGCCTCAGTAAATAACAGCTTTAAATGCCAAGGAAGCTTTTATTCTGGTTAAACAGAAATACCGGTTTTACACATTGAGATGTAATAATAACAATAATAATAAAAATGCTGCTGGAGACAGGAACCCCTGTGTCCCTGATGGATGGGCGATGGGAAATGGATGGATAACACTAATATTTTTTACTTTCGGTAGAGTTTTTAACATAAAGCAGATTTTCCTTGAAATGTCAGATTATTTTTTCCAAGTTTTCTGAAACAACCATAAAGGATACAACACAAAATTGAAAAAAAAAATTAACAATAAAGGTTTAAGTGGCTGAAATTGCAAAAGTTTTTACAAATATACATCTTAGTTTGCATTTTTTTAGTCTGTATTTACCAAAGATATAGAACTCAACAGCTCTCTCATTTCTTTATGTGTGGTATTTACCACCATCCATCTTATCCAAAATGTTTTGACCAGTTTTCATGTTCCTGCTGAAGAAAATCTGAGCATGATGCTGTCACTACTATGCTCTACTGTTCAGGGTGGAACATGGTTATACATCTGTTCAGAAAGATGTGTAGTAATAATTTTCCATATGGATCGAAAAATTCAATCTTACTTTCATCTGACCAGAGTATCTTCCTCCACTTATTTGCTGCAAATGCAAATTTCTTAGGCTTCTTCAATAGTTTCTTTTAGTAATTTTTTTTTGCATGAAGGGCAGATTTCTCTCCACTAATTATCCCTTCTAAGCTGTTTTCCTCTTTAGCTTGTCCAAAGATTTTGTGGACTTCTGGACTGTTTCTTGACTTTAAATCTCTCCTCCGTGGCCCCTAAGTTTGGTTGGACTCACTGGTCATTCTTGGTAAGCAGGCAATAAATCTCACTATATATCCAGACAATGGATATAACAGCACTCAGAGACATGGAACAGCTATCAAAGAACCCAAATGACTGCCCATTCCAAAGGGGTGGACCCATTAGTCCAATAAAATTTTCATGTTTTCTAAGCCAAAAAAAGGCTTTGTTTTTTGTCCACTCTATATAGCTTCAAACCCAATGCTATTTCTGACATTATGAATTGAAAGAGCTTCCTGGATGGGAAGTGAAACGTCTTCCAACTTGGAAACAAAGTCCAGTGGATTGTTTTTTTTTTACTTGTTTGGAATGACTATGACCTGGATGGCTGGGAATATTCACCAGCAAGAGCCATCTGTCACACTTTCCAAGCTGGGAAAGTTGTCTGGGAACCAAACTCTGATTTAAACTTCTGCAACTTTATTTCTGACTGCCTTGTCCATTGGTGTTCATGATGCTTTTAAATATTATTTTAAAAATGTCAGAGCTCTTCTTCATGTGCAAGTAAATGCATGTGGTGCATTCACCTACTGGACTGGTGTTTACCACAAGATACTATAAATTTTTTTGCTATGATTTTTTTTTAATTATTATTATCTTTTATCTTTTGGATATAGCTCTTGCTCCATTTCGAAAGAAACAGTAAAAAAGTGAAAAGTTGCCTTTATTTTTTCTTTTCATGGTAATAATTCTGTTATACCACAAGAGGTCACTGTTGTCAAAGGGTTTCCCTGTGCCACAAAATGCATTGAAAGCTAAAAACCACTTACACAAAGATGATTTTAAAGCACTTAAATTGACATTATTTTGTGCTCCTATTTATAAATAAAAAATTTGGACTTGATTTTAATAACGCTTATTTTTTTATTTCTGTTTTTCACACATCAAACACACTCTGTCTCTCATTATGAACCAGAATCCTTAACTGTGCCATTGTGCTGAGGTTATGAGAGTGAAACAAAAGGCAATTCACTAGCAGTGGTAGTGACACCAATCACACAAACATAAACAAACTGCTGTGGGCGAGAACACAGACAAAGCTGCAGGATACAGAGGATCCTACAAGAGGAG